AACCCCGTGCTGGCCCCAGAGTCCTGTGGGGATCTCGCTGGTCTGTGAAGTCAGGCCCTCGCACTGGCCCCTGCCGTGGCCCACCCTTGAGAATCCCGGGGAGGCTGACCTGTGGAATTCAGTCAGCCAGGGCCTCTCGCCCTCCTGGCCCGACTCACACCCCATCTGCACCCCACCCCCTCACTCCAGTCTCCAAACTGGCTTTACCTGTGGGCGCCCAGCACCTCCTGCCTTGATTGCTTTGTCTCAGCGTCGTGTGCCAGGCAGGATGCACAGGTGGCAGCCCACACGCACTGCCTGCACTTGCTCAGCACCAGACTCTTAGGTCAGAAGGAGCCTAGAGATGGTACACCGCCTCCCCTGCCTCCCATAGACCGGTGTCCCTGGACTTCCTGACTTTAGGTGGTTGTCTGTGGTTTGGGACACAGCAGACTGGATAGCCCACAAGCTAACTCGGGGCCTAGGACAATTCTAAAGGCCCAGCCAGTCTGGGTCTCACGTGAGACTGACAGGAACCAGTCCATCGGGAAGTAAAGGGTTTCCGAAAGCCCAGCTTTACCCGATAAACCACGGCTCGGACTTCCTTCCACGGGGACGAGGAGACGGGCTGCGGACCCCGCAGTGCAGTGCTGTCTTGCCACCCCAGGAACGCCACCTTGACAGCGGGACCTCCCGAGGCAGAGGGTGACACCTGCGTCCCCCAGATCGCTCCCAGGCGTTCCCCTCCCCCCACCCTGCCTCTCATCTCCGCTTACAGAAGGTATCAAAGGTGGCGGACAAAGAGCGAGGTGAATTCCATGCTTGGGACGCCGAGCCCGAGAGGAACAGCCAACCCCGACCCGGCCCGTGACCCTGTGCAGTCAGCCCCAGGGACAGGGGGTCCGTGGGGCTCATGCCCGTGCTGCCCTGAAGTGCTGAGGGGATCACGTGGGGGTCCCGCCCCGCAGCACACGCTCGACACCAGGCCTGGGACGTGTCTTTATTAAAGATGCAAGCAAGCACAGGAGTCTCATGTCCATACAGCACTGAAATAGAAAAATAGAAAAGAAACTTCACAGACAGCAGCCTCCCTCACGGATGCGCGGAAAAGGGGCCGCCGAGCCCACGCGCACCGCCACGCGCCACCTGCCGGTCCCAGCCGCTCGCCTTCACAGTAAAACACCTTTCAGGGACGCAGCACAGGACAGCCCCTGCAGCAGCGGCCCCGGCCACCTCTCAGGGCACTTCCCAGCCACAGGCCACCCAGCCTCTCCGCTCCTCCAGCCAGAGGTGGGCCAGGTGATGGGGAGAGACGGGGAGGAATGGGGATAAAGACTCCACCTCTCTTCCCCCGGGGACACGGAGGTGCGGGGACAGGGACAGGGTGAGACTGCCAACTGGGGCTGAGAACAAGGCGCTAACCCTGCCACATGGCATCTCAGGGCCGAGCGCCTCCGGTGGCGGAACCACCTGAAGGCTCAGGACAGGGAGCCCCAGGAACTCCCTGCGGAGCATCTGCTTCCCCAGCAGCAGGCTTCCGCTTCAGGGAACGAAAGACGGTGACAAGGACTCGGACTCCCAGTGTCTCCGGGTGGACTGTCCCATCGCCGGCCTGGGGCAGGCTTCCCCCCAGTGTCCCGCTGGCTCCGCCCAGTGAGTCTCTGGCCGAGGGGCATCCCCTCTGAGAACCCCGGTGGGCAGTTCCTGCCTCATTTCCAGGTGACAGAGAACTGCGCGCCATTGGGACAGCTTCCCCTCGGCCCCCACCTCATCGAGCCCTCACCTTCCTCCCAGACCAGGTGAGCATGAATGGCTGCCTCACAGGAGAAAACTACAAAAATAAACTGCAACCTGAGATCCGTCTACCGTTCGGTGTGGCTCACCCCCGAGTGCCCTCGGGAGTGAACTTTGGTTTGGTGTGTACTGACACTTGTTCGGGTCTCCAGCGGGAAGCTCTATCAAACGCAGGCAGGAATGCGGGCTGTAAGAGGCAGGCGTCTGGCTGCATACGTTACAGGCTTTGTGTTCACGGTGCCACCGTTGGAACGGAACGGCGACCCTGACAATGTTTGTATCAGACACGGACAGACTTCAGATCCGAAGGCGGGACAGCTGCTCCGGGCGGCAGCCCCCTCCCACCTCCTGCGCGCCCCCCCCCCAGCGTGGCCACACCGCGGCCGGGGCTTGTCCAGCGAGTAACGAATGCGTGTACGGGACCGTAGCTAGTGGCGTCTGGGGACCGCGAGCATGCAGGGTTGTTGCCGGGGCTGCGCTTATAAATAAAAGTCAAACGTGAGGTCGCACTTCCCCATCTTCTGCTTGTACACCAGGTCGAACTTCTCGTTCATGGACACGGTGAAGATGTCCTTCCACAGCCCCACGCGCCCTGAAAGCAAACGAGAGAGCGTGCTGCACGTGTGCGCTGTCGGGCAGCTACCCAAGCACAGGAAGCCTGCACCCTCGGACCTGGCCTGGGGGCCACGCAGGCCCTCTGAACCGGACAGGCTGGACCCCGAGTCTGACATCCTGGGGTCCTTTCCCGCGGGGTGGCCCAGCACC